GACATAAATTATTTTTAGAAAAAAAAAATCCTAAGAAGAAATTTTTATGATCACGTGATCATCTGTGTTCACTTTGGGAACTCGGAAATGTCTGCATGAGTAACTATAACATAAAGGATAACGAATTATCAAGTAGACTCTTATGATCGATGTTGTTATTGTTAAAGCGGTTCAAAATAATATGGTTCAACCTATCTTAACTAGGTCCCACCGTATGTAATTTCTACATATGTATTTTTGGGTGAAAATGGGGAGCGTCGATTTGTTAATCGAACCTACGACAGTCGACGAAATTCAATTTTTATTGTTTTCTATAATAACTTTTGAAATTTCTTGATGGTATTTTTATATATTAATAATTGATAAATTCACCTTTTACGTTAAAAATTTTAAAATTTATAGGTTGCATACATAAGTTGTAATTTTGATGATTTTTTTCACTTCTAATGTATAGTTTGTGTATTTATCGTTAATGCATCTTAAGGGCAGGGCAAAATGTTAGTCGATGAATCAGATATTTCTGACATTTCTTTTTGGAAAAAAAAAATGCAGAATGAGAGCCTCAATTTGCATATGAGCTGTTTGTCACCCCTTTTAAAGGAGTCGTATATGAAGGCCTAAAGTCTAAAATGATAAGAATCACGATCAGGGCCCGAAACCAGGGTGATTGACGCTTAACAAAGCCTCTTTTTTTCTTCTTTTTTTTCTACTTTTTATACTCCTGTGTTCATAGTGTAGTAGGATTTGAGGATTATCTTCTGTCCGGCGAGAGAGTGATCAATTATGAGGAGCGAAAGGAAAAAGACAAAACTCAAGGAAGAAGAAATTATGCATGTGGAGAATACTATTGTAAATTTTGTAATTAAAATACGACACTGTTCTGTCAATCTCATAAATCCCGTCGAATTTGGGGTCCCAATTAAATTTATTTGTGACAAGATATATTTCCATCAAGTTAGGAGTGACATTGAAAGAATTTACACCACTCATAGCAAAGTTAACTCTAGAAAAGGGGAATCATGCATGTCGGATGTTCATACTTCTTTAGTTGTTCGTTCAACTTTCAAGATATTATTAACGTGCAGTGTAATTTGGTTTCTGATTTTCATTTTCATTACAAATACTCTAAAACATGGTTACTGGTCAAGGAAGAACTACGACAACTAGACTCGTAAGTAAGATTTGTCACGAGGACAAAGCCAATAATAGAAGGGGAGATTGAAAGATTTTACGGCCACGAACTCTAAAAGTCATAGCCAAAAATCTTACCCAACCAATCAACACTCGAGTAGTGGGAGGAAACAAAGCAGTAATGCAGTACGTATTGTAGGTAGTACGCACTCAACTGAAAATATACATGTAGCGGAGGACCCAAAGAAATACAAAATCTAACAACATGAAAAAAGTAGTAGAGAGGTCTATTACATTCAGAGATAAAAAGCATGGCCAAATTTATTCTCTAAATTTTTCATGTTGTCCATTTTCATCACATCATTATAGTTAGTGATGTACTACAAATTCTCTTTCTGGGTACACCAATAAAAAAAAAAAAAAAAAGAAAAATTGATCATCACATAAGAACTTTTAAAAAAGGGTCCCCAAAAAATAAAATGATGTCCCATATCACATGTAACTGACATGTGGGATTTGTTTTGGTGAAGCAACTCACTGTGATACTCATGGGGGTATGGAGCCCCTTTCCCTTCAACCCCCCCTCCCCCTTATTATAGGACTTCTACAACACAACCCCCCCTCTCCCAAAATACACGTTATAGAGATAGTAGTCCATAATTCTTCTTCTCCTTTGCCAGGGGTCTGATGTTACCTGGACAACTTTGGGACACTTCCCTGCTGTCCTCATTTCTCTTTGGGGACCCCTTGAAAAAATTTTGTTGTTGAAAGGCAGGAGTGGGAATAATGCCTTTTCCATGTTTTTAAGTATGTGTTTCCACAATTATTGGCTATTGGGTAACATGCATTGATGCCGTAGCAATGCAAGCAAAAAAAAAAAAAAAAGAGTTTATTTGATTAGTGCATTTGTGTGTCCTTGGATCCCATTTTTCAATAATGTTAAAAACAGATGTCCCGCCTAATTTGATGTTTTATTATTACTACAAACAAATGGGTAAATGAATTAGTCTGTTAAAGTATCACTTCTCGTAATCTATAATAAGTATGATTAAACATACAAGATGGAATACTGAATTGAATACATAACAACCTGAACTAAAACGTTATCGATGCAAACCCTACATAGTATGACTGACATAGTGTGATAGTGAGTGCATGCCTTCATGGTTCAATGTTCTATTCTCGAAATTTCAGCATGGATCTCTACGTTTAGTTATTAGTAAATTAATTCTTTTCCTTTCCCCAAAGAACAAGGGATTTATAAGCATCTTTACAATTCCGAGAAACTAATGAGTAAGTTATTCAAAAGATATGGAAATAAAAGGGGCCGCTGAAGAAAGTAGTAGTAGTATAATTTTATTGGATTAAGGTCTTACCCTTTCTTTAGTTTTTTTACTTACAAATATGACTGTTATAGAATCGATTTCTTTTGTAGACTTAAAAGTACTTGCGGTCAACTTGAGAGTAGAAAACATTAGAACTTTATTCAGTTCATTAATCATATATGTGTAGGCCTAATGGGGATGAGCTTTTTTTGCTGGCTGTGGCTTATCCTAGTAGCTAAGCTAAGTAGATGGATGGATAAAAATATCAATGTGGATAAAGTTTGGTAGAAATTGTGACCACTCACCAAACTAATCACAAATGTTTGAGCCGAAAAAAGGAAAAAAGTTAGACAAAGAAATTTACCGATGTGGTCGTGAAGGAATGATTCAAAGCAGATGTAGGGGGCCAATTAGTAGAAGAAAGAAATCCATTTATAGATTCAATCATACTTCATGCAAAGCTAAAGCCAGCCACTTTTTACTTATTAATAATGTGTGGTATATCGATTTATCGAACGTGTGGACGAAACCATGCAGTTGAATCTTTAATTTTTTATTTTTGTAAAAGAGGACACGTTTTTATTCATTTAATCTCCCGTAAAACAATCTTATGACAGCTAACTTATTCAGGTCTTGATCTAACAGTCTAACGGATTGACTTGAAATAATTATTTTGAGGAGAACAAAAGGAATCATCTATTTAACGTTCATTTTTTGATGCCTTACAGGAGACAAGAGTCACCATGTTTTTCACTAACATCTTGTTCCCGTCCAACTTCATCCTACATGTGATTAATTATAGTATAACACGTATGACCCTCAGTTTTTGTGTACATAAACTCGTGAATAACAATAATTTCATACAATTGACAACATCTCATCCCGTTACGTTCAAAGGGGAGAAACGGTCACGGTTCACCATTGCTTAATCCGTAATGGAACACGTTTATACACTTCCAACAGAACCAATATGTTCAAAGGAGAAAGAAACCACTTGTCTATATACGATTATGCATCGCCCTTATTGTAAACAACTTGCAAATAAATTAAGCAAATTGATGACATGGTTCGATGGAGACTTTTCTTTTATTTTTTTATTTCTGGTTTTTTTATTAAGACTTTTTTTTTCTTTGATAAATGGAATCTATCTTTTAATATTATTATTGGAATTTTTTTTTTTTTGGTTCATAATATTTGTAGTTTATATGCATAGCAGAGTCCGCAGAACTTTGGTATAATCGAAAAAAAATTCCAGTATATTCGATTTCGAATGGAATTGACAATCAAGCCAAAGTATGAAAAGTGACAATATATACATACTTTAATTTCAGTTTGAATTGAACCCTGGTAATTTCTTTTTGCAAGTTGAATGATTAGCTGACAGAAATTAAAGACACTGATATATAAACTTACGAAGAACAAAAAAAAATGGAATCCCGTCATTTTCGAATAAGATGTTAACCTTTGTCAAAAAAAAAAGGGGTGGGGAATAAAATGTTACCCATTTTTATTATTAAACTTTAATATATAGAAAAGGTTAATAAAGACCCTAAGCTAGATAATGATAACAACGTTTCAAGTTCCAACCATTTAATCCCATGTTCACTTTCTCCCTTCTCTTTGTATTTATTCAAACTTACAAGGTTTAATTTATGAATTTCTTCCTTGTTCTCGCCATGCAGTGTTCCAGACGGTTGGGAACTGGTACTAGTAATGTGTAATAATAATCTTGAAGTATGGTTAAACTTTGGCTGAAAACAATGAAACTTTGGCTACTTCTTCATACAGTAATTTTTTTAAAAAAATTGTTTTTTTCCTTTTGAATTAATGAACAAAATCATAATGCTCTTTCATATTGTATTTGTAAACAGCTTCTTTAGAGCATCTATCTCTGGTTGGTACGGCAGAGACCGTTTCATCCCGAATCACATTTAGATCTAACCCAAATGTTCGTTTAAGGAGTACTTGATTATCTTTTTAGTTTTTATGCCATTGGGATATTGGTATTTTTCCCCTTTGGTGACCTTATGATGGAATACTACCACATTAATCTTCATCAATTTATTTATGTGACTTCCTTTCAACGTACTATTATATAATCTATAATAAAAGGATCAAAACGTATGACATAGTGTTTTTACATTCTATCTTAATAGTTATTTATTTTATTGTATTAAAACGATACAATAAAATGAAGTATTAGAAAGGAACATCGAAAATAGTTCCTTTTACTTATTGTTTTTTTGAGGTATAACTTTATACTAATAATATAGGAAGAACATTTTCGGACAACTCAGAAAGCCCCATGACAACCCCACACTTCCTCTCTCTGATGAACCTTTTTTTTTTTTTTTCAAAGAGGATAATTAATCATATATAAAGGAAAACTAAGCATGTATAATTATAGTGTGTTGGGCTACACCTAACTATAGAAGAAGAGATGCACAATCCTAACACCGTTCAAGCTTATATTAAGCTAAATTGGCTAAACACTGATGAACACTTATTTGTCTGCGTTTCAATTTTCATTAATTTTTTTTAAGCCACCAATCCAGTGACTAACGCAGATCACTGGACTGTAACATGGCTGAACTGAGTAGACTGCAAAGTTGAGCCTGAACTAGTGAAATTTGACTTGAATTCCTTAGTGCCGTACATAAGATGATCTTGAAACTTTTACGTCACAACTAAGCCTATATTGGAAATGCACAAATTTTATGGCAAATTCAGAGAGATACGGTAGGCCAATTGCAAATTGCAAGTAACTCTCACATTTTTATTGAGGTCAAAATATAATACACATTGGCATTGGGTCATTGACCACGAGGACGACCGAGAGACAAACAGGGGAAGAAGAAGATAATCTAACCCAAGTGCATGAACCCTATTAAAAAAATAAAAAAAAAAAGAAGAAAAAAGCAGAAGGAAATGAATAATCCCCAACAACTAAGAGGGAAGAAAAGAAAAGGGGAAAAGAAAAAGCTCAAAAAAACACATTTCAAGGAGGAAGAAAAAATAACAAAATTCAGAAAGCAAAAGAAAGGCTGACTAATAAGCTGAAAATTGATAATTAAAAGGAAAAAAAAAGAAAAAGACATGATTTGACTCCTTTGGGTCAGTCTCTCTCAATGTTCCCTTCCACCGTCCGCCCATCACCACCACTAACTTTGCGGTGAGAGTCAGCGCCTGCTTTTCAGTTTTCTCTCAGTTGGCCAAAATTCTCAAATTTGACCACCAGGTCCACCACCACCCACCACCCAAACCCGGTTCAATTCCGCCGGAGTAACTCACTAATTTATCCGTCTCTGAGTTGCCAAGCCGAAGTTGCAATGAGTGGGCGTGTGTGCCAACCCAGCATCAAGCACCCATCATTTTCCTCCACCCTGTACCCATCCCCACCGGCGAACAGAGCCAACAACATACTGGCTTGCTTGAATGCGTTGGACCCGAGATGAACCGGGTCAAATCCAGCCGAGTTCATCCTCCCACGCCACTGTGCCAATGTCTCGTGTCGCTCGACCCGGTCCGCCCCTTCACAAGCCACCACGTTGCAAATCTGCCGCCCCAAATAAACCTCCGACATCACCACATCCTGACTGTTTGACTGCTGAGTCACGCCGGAGCTCTCCAACGAATCAAACATGGTCGAATAGTAATGCAACGCCTCGTTAAACCTGTCCATGAACACGGGCCCGTTGTGATTCGCCTCCTGTTCCACAATCGCCACGATTTTAGGCCTCATGGCTTTGATTGAATTCAACACTTTCTCAATCGCCCCAGGCCTAGACAACAACCTATGCAGCTCGAAAACTGAATTAACCGCCACCGCCTCCACATCACTGGGCCTAATCTCCAGTATCGAAGCGTCCAGATCAGCTAACGAATTCGCCACGAACCCACGGAATTCGAATTCCACCCCTATGGTCTCTGCCAACTGGGCTAGCTTCCACCCTACTTGCTGCAACGCGTCGGAATTATCCGGCTGAGGGGGACCAATTCCGGTCAGTCTAAACGCCGGCGGGCCGCCTGGCCTTAACGCCAAAGCTTGCATAAGGGCAGGCCATTGCATCCCCTGTTTCAAACTGAAATCAATCACATGGACTCTGTTTGCGCCAGCAAAGGCTTCGAGGATGGCTTGATTCGCGGTGAAATGAGCGAATTTCAAGTAAGGGCAGCTCTCGTAAAAGTGCATCTGTAGAACATCGGAATAAGACGATTCCAATGAATCCTGGGGATAAATCCTGTAAATTCGCCTAGCCAAAGCCTCTGCAAAATAAGTGGCAACTTTCCTCATAGCACCAACTTGTGCCACGGCCAGTATTCCTATGTGCTTCACCAGCGCATCTGCCACCTTCAAATTGTTCTGTTGCACGGCCTCTGCACACGCCATTAAAGTGTGGACAAGCCTAATACCTGTTTCTTGAGAGTCCACAAGCACCACCGGGCGTGCCGATTCAGAGGTCAAACCGGTGGAGGAAACAGCACGGCCACCATATTCAGATCCAATACTTGATTTCATCCTCTTGTTGTTAGCCTCATCGGAGGAAGGTGATAGGGATTGGGAAGGGGAAGGAGATGAGTCCTTGATGTTGTGATGATAATCTCTTCTATTATTATTATTAACATTAGTACTGGAGTTGGAATTGAAAATCGCATCCCCAGGGATGGCTCTTAAATCGTCATCAAAGCTAACAATACTGGCGCTATTAGTATTATTGGTGGCGGAATTAATATCACCTGGAGAAATGGGTTCATAGCTCATGGAGCTAATAATGTTTGTTGAAGCTGGATTCACGGCAACAACGTTGTCGTTGTCGTTGTTGTTGTTGAACTCGGACAGCATACTCTGGACCCATCCCGAAAGATCAGATGGGTTGTAATGATCAACGGAATCGGAGAGATGAGAAATCCCATCCTCCATGGTTGTACCCATCATCCTCTCCAGTTGCTCCATCTTCTCCGCCACGTCAGCCATGTCCGATGACTTTACCTTGTAGCCCAAAACAGCAAGCAGCTCATCCATCCCGGCGTCCGGCTGCTCATCCCACATCATCTTGGTGGCCTTGTTTGCATTGGGAGGATTATTATTATTGGGCAGAGAGGAACAAGAGGAGCCCTCCCCTTTCTCACGATCCCGATCCCTTTTCATCTTCATTTGATTTTCTTCCCTTGTAGATTCTCAAACAAAAATTAAACTACAAAAACCACTTTGCTAGCGGAAATCTATGTGGGTATTGAGGGTTGTGAGTGGGCTTTAGGACCAGCAATTGGTTAGAGAAACCTGGATCATCTTAAGTGGAAGATGAGTTGGGGAAGTCTGTTAGTTCTTGTTGGTGGTGTTGCTTGGTTGTTTGCAATTGCATCACTAATTTTCCCATTTCCTATTTCTTTATGGCTCTGTGTTTTGCTTTCTTTTCTTTTTTTTTTTTCTGTTTTTTCTTTTTGAGTTTTGAGGGAAAGAGATTGAGATTGGGGGTGTTTTGAATTAAAAAGGAAGAGAGTGGTGCAGGAATAATTAGTGTGAGATGGTAGGAAGTGAATGTGAAGAGAGGGGGCGCGAGCTTCAAGAGAGGAACAGAAGGGGAACGCACTCTAACTGGGGGCAAATGAAGGGGAAGGAGATAAGGAAGGAAGAGAGAAATAGTGAAGAAAATAAAAAAGAAAGAGAGAGGCCAGCCAGCCATATGACAATAATGGTGTTTTCCTTTTTTATTTTTTTATTTTATTTTTTTTTAATTTCTGCTTTTCTAGTGTTGTAAGGAAATAATGGACTACGTAGTACAAATGCAAGAAAATGAAATATACTATAATTAGGTTGCTTTCGTATCTTTTCTGAGCTTCTTACGAATTACTACTGCAACTGTATTTTGGGGACTAGTACATTATATAAGCTCCAATGACCACATTAGTGAGCCATACACTTATTATTATTTTCTTTTATAGTTTTATTCTAATAATTAATACTTCGCTTTATTATGTTTTAGTTCTACAAGATAAAATATTAGTAATACATAAGAAATCAAGCAACGTCATCCTTAAAAAAACCAGAAATCAATCGGAATTGGTAATAAATTTGTACAAAATTGATAATTCTGCGAATCACATAGAGTTAATGTCACTGTCAATTGTTATTATACAATGGTTCATACTATATGTTGTCAATTTAACTACCATGGGAAATGACGTATTGTATTTCAAATACATTTTAGTTATATAAGTTTTGCATATTGTTCATGGCTTTATTTGGAAAGGTTACTGGATTTTTTCTTGTTTTACTTTTGCAGCGAAAACTGTAAAGCTTTGAATCCGTATATAGAAAAAGAATGAAAAATATGAAGAAAAAAAAAACCTTGCAGGGTGTTCACCGTGGACAATAGTGACTAATCCCCTCGCTGAATTGTTGGGTGGGATAGCTGGCCAAAGCATTTAAGGTTGTTCCATGTCCATGGCGAGGTCCCTCGCTGAATTGTTATGTGGGATAGCTGGCCAAAACATTTAAGGTTTCTTCATGCCCATTGTGAGATTTGAATCCTCGATCTATGGTTAAGGATGTAGGAGTCCCTTCTACTCCACCACAACCACTTTGGTTACTCCTCACATGTTTGACCTCTTTTATTTCACATTTGCCATAATTATTTAGGGTTTGTTTGGCCAACATTTTGTTTTAGTTTTTGTTTTAGTTTTTTATTTGGGTTTGAGATGTAATTTAAAATATGATTTGAGATAAAATTTAAAAATTTGTTTGGGTAATATTTTAAGTAAAATAATAATATTTTTAGACCACCATCAGACCACCTTCACCACCGACGCTGCTGCCGGACCGCCCATTGCCGCTGCCGGGCTGCCGATGGCCAGTAGCCGGCCGGCAACAGTGGGCGGTCTGGTGGTGACCTGGCGACGGAGGTGGTCCGGTGGTTATGGATGAAAATTGTGTAAAAATAATGTTTGAAATAAATTTTAAAAAGTAAATTAAAAAATTATTTGGATAGTATTGAGTTTTGTATTTGAAAAGTGTTTTAAGAGATAAAATGAGACAAACAGTCAAAATGAGACTTGTTCAAACAAGCCCTTAGATTTTCATTCGTTAACTTCATTGAATTTTCCTCTATTTAAGCCAGCCTTATTGTCATAATGCCACCATCTAATTCCTTATATACAATGGAACCAATTTTCGCGTATAAATTGTATCCGGTATTAATGCTTTTCTTAGTGTTTTTTTTTTTTGTTAAAAATCTAGAAAAATGTATTGAATACCTAAAAAAAAGTTTAAGATTTGTAAAAATTAGGAAATGAACATTCGTTGTGTGTAACCAAACACAAATCTCAAATTTATTAGCTTTACTAGTTTTGTTTTCATTGTTTTTTTTTATTTTTATTTTTTTGAAAAGATGGACAAAGAAATGATCAAAATGGTACGGAATTTATGGATTTCTAGACAACTATTACATAGTTACAAGGGTGAAGAATGTTCTTGTATTTCCTTTTTTATCATAATCAAACTGGTTAATGATAAAGATCAGCAAGAGGAAATGGATTAAAAGTTTGTCATAATTAAGCTACCTAATGAATTTTCATTTTAATTAGAGGAGCGTATCATATGGAAGGAAAGTTCCACGAGTTACAAGGCGGGAAATTACTAGTATGCATTCTTTATTATCAAGCTCTATTTTTAATGAATTATAAATTAAATGGTTGAGACTTGTGACAAATTTGTTTAGGGTTATTTTTAGGAGAATGGCCCGGCCAGGCCAGTATTATTTATAGAACTTCAAAAAGAGGCGTGGCAGCACCGCAATGCCGAAGGGGGTGGATAAGGTGCAGCTCCGCCCTGTACTAGTACCTCATGCATGCACTTTCTGTACTACTACTCAGCAGCTGACCGTACGATGAAATTTTTTAATGGTCGATCTGGATATTTAAATGGTGGAGATGAAACTCGTGGGGTCCTCCATGTGGCCCCCAAATTAGTTCACGCTTCAGTTACAGGATCAATCGCCAGGATCGCCCGTGTCGTTGACGCTCCTCTCTTTTGATAAATGACTGTCAAAAGAATTATTACTCCTGGGTTACTTTGTGCACTGCCAAAGAAACTCTCCTGTGTTGAATCATGAATGCTCAGTGATAAAATGTAACGTGTCAGGATCAAATTTTGACCAAGTGGCTAACAGTAAAAAGATTTAAAAAAAAAAAGAAAAGGACACGATTTCCAGAAATAAAAGATTTCCTTTTTATTGTAAAATTAAAAATGCTCTGCCATTCTTTCAGTTGTATAAAATTGTGTGCTCTCTGGAAGTCTGAACACTGGTACTGTACTAAGATAGAGAAGAAAGAAAGTGAGAGGGGGATTCTGATATTTACTAATTTTTCTGTTCGTGAAAATAGGAAAAACTTTTTTATTGGTCTATGTCCCCACTTGAACTGCACGAGACCGGTGACCTTTCTACTCCACGCTTCTGAAGGCATGTGAATGGCAAACAGCTGTCTGAAATGGCCTTCAGGGACAGGAGAGTGGAAATCACGGCTGAAGTGGTTTTGGCGTCCTAGGACATTCAAGACATTGAGATTGGTGGGACCAGGTATAACGAGATCGAGGGATTCAGACGTCAACGTCGATTTTTGGGACCTCCGTCTCCCCACCATGGGCCCCACTCACGTAATGCGAAATCAGAAGAGGGAATTACTGGGAAAGGCTTGATAGATAAGTTTACAAAACAAGTTGGAAAGTTGTGTACTTTCTTCATCAACAAATTTATACGTCGACGATGAAACAGAATTAAGGTCCGTAACCGTAATTAGGTTATGAGTCACTATTACCACTGCTTTACTAAGTCCGCTGATCATTGCAATTAATTAGTCTACAAACATTTACGACCACCTACATATATAGTACCTTGTTTGCTTCTTTCTTTCTTTCTTTCTTTTTTTTTTTTTTTGAATAATACCTTGTTTGCTGAATTGTGACAAGCAAACTCATGAGTGGGCTAGCTTAATTTCTGACAATATCAATATAAACATCTTGTTTTCTTTTAGTACACTACAATCGTCATGAAAATATTATTTAATTTAAATTTCATCTTCAGTTTTACTTCTGTCTCAAACTAAAAATAAAATTCAAATTAAACAATTATTTTGAAAAAAATATTATTCAAAATGAAATTTTAAACATGATTTTCTTTTTTAGGAGAAAGGAGTATTATATATTTTATTGCAAAACACCATTCACATATTTATCGAGGGGAAAAAACAATTCTACAACCCAAAAAAAAAAAAGATCATAATTTGCAGGCTTTTGATACATGTTACTCTGTTTGTTTCGCATTTTAGATTGGAACTGGTAAAACACTAAAAACGGCAACTTCAGAGTAGATTGGTATAATTTTTAACAATTTTTAACGGGGACGGTAGGATTCAGGAAGATGGGAGTAAGCAAATACTTTACATTTAAGATGTAGATCCTCAGTAAAATACAGATTACAGAGAGGTTTTTGTCTGGCTGGCAACATTGGTCCCGTTATATCGGACCCAAGCATATGTACTCAAATTTGCTAAACAGCAGTATCCCGTAACGCTTGTATGTATCTACAGTATTATTATTTCTCTGAAATCTACTTTCCAATCATATAGATAATTCAATATATGAATTCATGTTACTCGATGGAAGCAGCAAATGTAGTTTGCTAAAAATATCTAAGTAGAATAAGATCAAAAGACGGAAGAAGATAACGCAGCACAGACTCCAATCGGTTTCCTCAAAATAGAAAACTGTTGGAGGAGTTGCAGCATTATCGCGATGCAAGAAGAAAGTGTGCAATTGGTTGGGGGGAAATTTGGGAATCTGAAGTAAGGAAAAGAAAAAAAGAAAGAAAAGAGGGAGAGGGTGTTGGTAGATTGTGGGCGGCGGGGGGCTTTGATTCTTGAAGGGTGAGCTATCCCGATATCCAAAAAATATGCAAAAATCTGCTCAAGTTTTATTTATTAGTCCTATATTCACATTTCAAAATAGGTATTGTTTCAGTAAAATGGATATAAATAAGTGTTCATTTCTGATTCTATTGCATTTTTTGTTCAAATTTTCTCTAAAAAGAAATATATACTAGTATTATTGGTAACTGTTTTTTTTGTAATGAAATTAGTTGAGAATATTCGAATAATTTATTTATTATATTATTTTTTTTTTTAAATTTATACAAATTATCTAATGACATTGTGGAACTGAGAGAATAATATTTGAATACTAATAGAAGAGAAGATGTGATAGGGACCATTTTTTGTAAAGGGAAGACATGGAAGAGAGAAAGAAAAGAGGAAAAAGAAAGGGAAAAGGAGAGCCAGGTAGGCGAGACGCCGAAATGACACCTCCACCCACACATCATGGTCCTTTCGCCATGTGATTCTGCCACGTCTCTTCGAATCCCTTTCTCTCTCTCTCTCTCTCACATATATGCTTGGGGCTGGGGGGTTGGGGGTGGTCCCCACCCACTGCATCTTCTCCCCCTTTCCTCCTCTCTGGAGTCTGGACCCTCTGGACCTCCCTTGCTGTTGCTGCTCCTCTGCACATTGTATTCCGTTCCTCTCTGTCACCCCCCTTCATTTTTTCCCTTCTATATTTATTTTCGTGATTTCTGATTTTCTGTTGAGTGCGTTCATTTTTCTTTTCCGTTTTGTTTATAATAAAAAAATTATTTTCATGTACTAGAATGCCTATTAATTAATTTTCCTTTTTCTGAATTTCCTTTATACTGGAGTAGTTTTTTAGAGCGTGATTTTCTGGGGAACATGGAGATTTCCAAACATATGGTTCATTCAGATTCTGCCCCCACCACCACCACCCCCTTCTCCTTTATCCGAAACTACTTCAACTATCTAATCCTA